CATAACTGATTAGTTTCACAAGCAAGGCTTGGGACTCCGCCCTCTTTCGAATGATTACTCTGAGGCAGATAGAGGCCGTTAACCTGAGTGGATGCCCTTCCTAATCTTGGACTTGTAGAGCCACATGCGTAACCAAACATCCCACCGTGCTGTACTTAATCAGTCACTGCTAGCATCAGCCTTTTTGACGTTTTAAAAGGGGAGTACAGTTACATGTAAGTCTACTTCAGCATGACAAGGGAGGACATATGATCCCCTCTTTTGGTTCACCTTAAGAAACCTCAAGTCCTGCGACGGCTTTTCCAATTCATGCTTCTCAGAAAGGCACGTGAGTCAGCATGCCACCGCCAAATAATAAATGAACACTGACCATCAATGTGAATAATAATACGAATTTGATAAAAATAATTTAATAATAGTGATATGAATGAAGATATTGATAATAATAATGATAATGATACCGATACAAATGATACCGATACAAATGATACTAACAATAATAGTGATAGTGATAGTGATAGTGATAGTGATAGTGATAGTGATAGTGATAGTGATAGTGATAGTGATAGTGATAGTGATAGTGATAGTGATAGTGATAGTGATAGTGATAGTGATAGTGATAGTGATAGTGATAGTGATAGTGATAGTGATAGTGATAGTGATAGTGATAGTGATAGTGATAAAGATAAAGATAAAGATAAAGATAAAGATAAAGATAAAGATAAAGATAAAGATAAAGATAAAGATAAAGATAAAGATAAAGATAAAGATAAAGATAAAGATAAAGATAAAGATAATAATGATAGTAAGGATAATACAAGTAACAGTAATGATAATAATAGTAATTTTAACAGTAATAAAAGCAGTAATAATAACAGTAATAATAACATAATAACAATAACAATAACATAATACAATAACAATAAAAATAATAACACTGATAATAATATCACTAATAATAATCATAACCATAAAAAAAAAATAAAAAATAAAATAAATAAAAAAAACAAATACCAAATAAATAAATAAATAAAATAAATAAATAAATAAAAATAAAATAATTCAATAAGTAAATAAGTAAATAAGTAAGTAAGTAAGTAAATAAGTAAGTAAATAAATAAATAAATAAATAAATAAATAAATAAATAAATAAATAAATAAATAAATAAATAAAAAACTAAATAAATAATAAATAAATAAATAAATAAATAAATAAATAAATAAATAAATAAATAAATAAATAAATAAATAAATAAATAAATAAATAAATAAATAACAGTAAAAAATAACAATAAAAATAGTAAAAAAAAAAGTATATAGTAAATATCATAATGAAAATAATAAAATAATAAAAATAATAATAACAATAAATAATAATAATAATAATAATAATAATGATGATGATGATAATAATAATTGATAATATTAATAATAATAATAATAGTAACAATAATCATAGTGATAGTGATAGTGATAATAACAATATAATATAATAATAATAATAATAATAATAATAATAATAATAATAATAATAATAATAATAATAATAATAATAATAATAATAATAATAATAATAATAACAATACTAATAATAACATTGACAAGGATGATGACTGTTATTGTAACATTAATAACAAAGTAGTAATAAACATAGCAACATCAACAAAAATAACATCAATAACTTTAGTAACAACAAGAATAATGACACAGTGGGGAAGAACAAGAAAAAGTCGAATGAGCAAATAAACGAAAAAATAAAATAAAATAAAATATAAACTGATTACTAAAACACTCTTGCCAACTTTCAGGCACAATATGGTAAAAATCGACAAATTGCGAAACATGGCACCAACAGCTCTTCTTGCCACATATAAATCGTCTTTAATGTGTTTCAGTATATCGCATGAGAAAGAAACCGTCGTAACAAATAGAAACTAAAGAGAAACTTGAAATTATCCTCCATAGACACACACCCTTGGGACCTGTCATCAACTCGTCCAGGAAAAAACGACAATATTTTCCCACTTCCTCTTTCTGTTTCGGCACATAAATCACTTCATCATTTTCCTCGCTTATTCGGGTTTCGTCAATCTGGCCTTTACCTGTGCCATTTTCCTTCAAAACGAGGGGAAAAGGGAAGGAAAACCGAAAACAACGAGACGATCCAGGTGTTTACGGAGTCACTACGTCCTAGAACTGTCACTGGCGCATTTCTTAAGAACAATTTATTTGTGTTTATTATTCTTATTTCATTTTTGGCCTCGTTTTATGCTTGGTGAAATTGTGATTGTGGGGTTTATTTTTTATCTTGGTTTTTATTTCCTTATTTTTTTGTTGTTGTGTTTTGTATTATGTATTGACTTTATTATAAAAATTCTCGTCTTCATAGCTTTAGCGGCTATTACAGACGTTTGTTATGGTGATATTTTGTGCTTTTTGGATTCTTTGTCACGAGATGAAAAATATCTTATTATATGGGTTACAAAAGGCTAATGAGAAAGATTATTTAAGAAAACTTCACAGGATCGTATAAAATAATGACAATGGACCCTTAAGCTCAAAATAATGAATATCGCCATCTTTGATAAACATAACAACCATTCATTCACAAATTCGGCACAATGAAAATAAAAAGTTAAATAAATTCATAATTCAGAAAGTTGTTCAGAAATGTACTGTAAACAAACAATGGCGGCCCCGGTCGAGACACCCAGCGTCGAGGTTCTGCAAGTAACCCTCAATAAAGTACGGAGTCTACGCTCGAGTGTGACCAATTTCTTCAGGGTATTGGCCGAGGGACCGAAGGAGGAGAATGAGGACGAGGACAAGGTGGAGAGCTCCTTGGGGGAGAGCTGCATCAAGACTCTGGCCGATATCAAGAATCAGCTGAGGTTTGTTTGAAAAGTTTGGTATTGCTAAATGGAGTATTTTAAATATATCGGTCATTTGTAATTGATTCTATGATTGAATAAGAAGAATATAGAATTTACTCTGTTCATTTGTACTATAGTAATCACGTGAGAGTAATAAATATCTAATGCATTTGACACAAAGTGACAACCAATCAAAACAAGTTTTACACGAGCATGCTAGAAGTATATAAGGTTTCATGTTTTGTGGCAAGAACTCTAAGGTATAGTGCATAATGTACTGTAGGCTGCATCTGTACAGTACTTCTTGAAGATTCATTGTCAAATATGCAACCAGTCCAAGCTCAGTCATGCTGGGAGATATATTTTTGTTAACTCCCCCTCCCCCCCTCATACATATATGTATATTTGCATTAAATGTCATCCAGCCATAGTAGTGTCTTCACAAAGATTAAGGTACTTTGTAATGTTTGATACAGGAAAGCAAGTCTACCAAACATTCTATAAATCTTAGGCAATCATCCCTTGAAAAACTTCCACATTAACAAAGCAATGGTTACTGGTACTAGTGTCGTATAAAATGAATATGCAAAGGAACAGGGGCTCTTGATAGGTAGAATATAAATTTGGAGTTGCTTGCATATTGACTGAAGTGAAAGGCATAACATTTTTATCTGTTTCAGTGAGTTGTATGTGTGTGTGTGTGTGTGTGTTTTATTGCCATCTGTAATTTTAATGGTGTTAAAGTAGTTAAGTAATGTGTGTGCACTGTGTTGTATCATGAAGATTGGACTCGCTTAATATTCCTCATGTTGTTTTTTGTTTAAATTATTTTTATTTGGGATTTAGTTTTTGATCAGAAATAGAGGAAGAATTTTATCATTGTTTCGTGCTCTAAAAGAAAATGGTGAAGTCCAAGTTGATTTGTCAAAATTCTATGTTACATATTACATCACTTCTTATACACTAGAAGAAATAATGCTAATAAAGTAACTATCTTACAGGGATCTGGAAACTCAAGTAGTAGCCCTAAACACACCGACAAACCCAATGAGTCTTGGCAACACTGGGCTCCTGTCTCTTGACCCATCACCAGATAAGCTCCCTCTCTACTATCAGCTCTTAGATTGTTATACATGGACAGAGAAGGTAAGACATATTGATGGAGTAAAAACATTTATCAATTTTTGGAAACCCTGTCAAGCTTATAAAACATTATGATAGAGATGGAAATTTTTATCAATGATTTTACAATTTCTTAAATTGAAAATGTTTACAGGTCCATACATACTCCACCATGATGCACTCACTCCTTGGTTCAAATAATCTCAAGAGAACTCACATTGCCCTGTCACTGTCTGCCAAGAGAAGACAGTTTAAAGTGCAGTACAACCATAATGTATCCCAACAGTAAGCCATTGTTTTTTTTTCCACAGTTAAATGATTGGTTGATTTTTTTTTTCTTGTTTGTTTGTTTGAAAGAATTGTCTGCTTTTATCATGCTATCTATAGTTTGTTTTATTAGAACTTTTAGAGCAAGCACAGTTTGGACCGTTTATCCAGCAAGCCTGGGCTTGGAGGTGACCCAGATTTCAGGGTTTTCATGTTTTCTTGTTTTCTTGGAACAATTTGTTATTTGGAAATAGAATAAACAAGGAAATATAAAGAACAAAACTGTATTTAACATATATGAATTATCATACTTCTGAGAGAAAGTCTATGGTCTTTATAAATCTACTTGATTTTTTTTTTTTTTTTTTTTTTTTTTTTTTTTTTTTTTTTTTTTTTTTTTTTTTAAATCAAAGAATGAAATTGTGGCACAAGGAAAAGTAGAAAACAGAACTTTCTTTGTTTTCCATTAGCAAGTTCCTTTTTTGGGAGGGCCTTTTTGACTGAAAACTGGAAATATTAATCACATGTAGAGAGGGGCAAGTAAATGTGGCAACTATCACATCAAAACTGACATTTGATGTGCACAGAAATTACGAGAAGGAAAGTAGAGAGCGATTACAAAGTTAGATTCAAGATCAGCATTTTAGAAATGGCCATATTGCTGATCACACCAAGTTTCAGGAGGCTGGATAAATGGTCCTGTATATACATTAGATTTATTTGTCTTAATTCCTTATT